CAAGTGTCTCCATATGTCTCATGGCAGTAAACGCATATTATGGCTTTCTCTTCATCTGACATTGCTGCTGATGCTTTTGCCGATGCACCTTTTTTCTCTTTAATTTTCTTTTTCTTTCACATTTTCAAGACACGAACTTGGCCCTGCTTTGTTAAAATTCTTTTTGACTGATTTAGCTTTTACTGTTTTTAATTTAGCTTTCAATTTCTCTTCGAGTTGATCTTTGTAAGTTGAGCTGCTGATTATTTTGGATCCTTCTGTAGTTCTGGATTTTGCTTTAATTTTTCTTTTCTCTTGACAAGGTTTTGGTATTGGACTTAATTCTGAGATAGAGACATAACTGTATGACGGTTGATCTGGTTCTAAAAGTGCTTTCGAGTTGCTTTTCCCTTGAGATGGTTTCGAGATTAGGCTTGAATTTGAAGTAGAAACAGAACTGCATGACGGTTATTCTGTTGCCTCTAAAGCTGGTAGTATGTTAGGATCATTTTAGATGTCCTCTTCAGGCGATTCTGGATTAGGTACATCTTCCAAGTTTACGGAATTGATTAAGGGATTGACGCTTTTTGGATTTGATTCTTTTTGAAGAATGTTCTCGGCCGCCTCAAAGTCGCTCTCTTGGAACACTTCCGGGTCATAAGGGAAGATTCATGTTTTTTCAAAACTCTTCATATTATTGATTGGTGTAAATGCTTTAATAAGGGCGTTTTTTATAATAGGGGCCATGTCATATTCGGTGATTCTAGAGCCAGGGTGATTTGTCAGCCAGTGGTCCATTTCTCTTGCTAGGTAGGTTTTGAAGGGCCCAAATACGCTTACATCAAGAGGCTGTAGCCTATTCGAAGTATGAGGTGGTAAATAGAAATTCCAGAATGTCTAGCCTCGGTTATTGATTCAATGGACTTGTGACTTGAATGACCGTCTAGTATCAGTAGGCTCGGAGACTCTTTGGTTGTTTGTGTAGAGTATATAAAATGTTTTAAAATTTTAACAAATACGTCGGCATCCAACCATCCGGATTGAGCAGGGAATCCTACTTTTCCAGCAAACGCACCATTTAACAAAGTTGGGTTCATTCTTACACGAGGGAAGACCATAAATGGTGGAATAAATGTGCCCGTAGCACTAACACATGCTAATAATGTAGTATTTTTTCCTCTTTCCAATGAAATTAATCTTTCCACTTTCTTTCTTCCTTTTTCCGCTACTATTTTTCCTGGTTTTTGAACGCAGGTAATCACTATCTCATCACAGTTAAATATGCGATACGGAGAGAAATTGTAATTGTCCAAGAGCTCTTTTCAATTTTTAAAAAACTCATTGACTTGGAAAATCCTGTCACTCTCGCAATGCTTGTTGCTTTAGGTCTTCTAGAAAGGTTTTTTTGACGCTTTAAAAATGATATCAGCCAGTCTTTTCCTGTCAGCTTCCGATCTTTATTGAACGGATGATTGATTTAGTTAACTTCAGCAAACTGAAATGCAATCCGTCGAAGATCTGCCGTTGAGAGTCAATAGAATAGCTTCTCAAATCCATTTCTATTTACAAAAAATTACTATTACACCTATTACAAACTATTACACCCTACACTTCCTAATAAAACATGGCATAAAAATAGCAACCTAAATCGTAGAGGCATAGTAACTACTGCTCGATTAAAGTTTGGTCACGCTTGCTACCCCCAACATCTTCAGTGTAATAAAGTCACCTTGAATGACCCTTAGGGGTGAAATGAGTTACCCTTTTCCCATCATAATGTAATATTGTATAGGTTAAGTCGACAAACTCAATTCGTGTATCTGGCTATGTGAGTACATACTCGAAGGCAATTAAAAAACAAGTATTACAAATTAAAAATTAAAAAAAAACCGACTTTAAAAACGTGCAGATGCCACATCTTAACCAAATTTATATGGGACCACCCCTGAGGTACCCCCTTACTAACAAAAAAAGAATCGTATAAATCGGACAAGGTGGTAAAGCATTATCGCTAAACATACATAAAAAATGAAGAGTTTGAGGATTTTCTCATAGATCCAATTATTAGATTTTGACAAAATTTATATGGGACCACAAAAAAAGAATCATTGAAATCGGACACCGTGTTAAAGAATAATCGCTGAACATACATTAAAAAAAAAATATCGCGACGAATTGATAACCTCCTCTTTTTTTGCAGTCGGTTAAAAATTACCGACAATATTATTGCGTCGCCTTGTCTATTACATTTTAATAGAACTTTTGTGCACCCTGAACCAAATTTTGTCAATCTAGTGGATTGAATAACAATGACTCAAGGACAAGTGACAATAAAAATAAACGAACCCTATTAATTATTAAAATAAATAACTATAAATATTATAACTTATTTTAAGATATATATCTTAACGACTTGACGAAAAGTCACAGGAAGTTAATATAAACAGGATATTTAAGAGAAAAATCCGACTGAAGAAGGTCTTAGATTTTGGTCCTTCGAATAATAAAGATATGTTTTATTTTAAATCTCAGGTCATCAGAATCAGCTGGGCGAGAAAGACTACTCTACTAAATATCAGGCTTTAGATTAATTCTCGTTACAGGATATTTTATATAGATTTTAAATATTATTCATATTAAACGTTTTATTTGCAAAAGAGGTGCATTTTCTTACTAGATGGTTTTCAATGTATTAAAAACAAAACAAATATTACAATAATTAATGTATTCATTTATTCAATATTTAATAGTTGTAGTGTTTAAAAACAGTATGATATTGATAATAATAACTACATTTATTACAAACCCAAATAAAAAAGCGATACAAAGTTTTGAATTGAAATTGTAAATGATAAAATTATTGGAAAAAATTGAACACCCACTTTAAATTACGACGAGTTGCCACTGTTTTTCCCAGTTATTATTTCCCTATTTTAAGTAAAAAAAATGTTTTAATTTAGCGGTCAGTTGTATGTTCCCTATTCTATAAAACCTTATAATCCATGTTGTGGATTATGCCCATTGGGAAAACACTATCACAATTGCACCAAATCTTCTATGTGGTGGTGTGGAAATAAGGTTAAAATTTTATTTATTTTTTCTCATTTTTAATGTAATATACTTTCGTACTGCCTGTACGATATAGATACTTAGTATTTAAATTACATCTACATTAGAAATTGCACAACTATTAACTTTATTGCCCCGTGTATAAAAATTTGTCACTACTATCAGAATATAATGTGAATACTGATATATTTTGTAGGTAATTATAAACCAGTTAGATTTTTGCCATTTCACTTTATTATGGCAAAATTTAACATATTTACCCAGGCAGCACACATTAGTATAACTAACGTATTTTATACGTAATACTCGTTTAATTTTGGTATTGGTTGATTCCGTATACGTTCACAGTTTACGATTATTATACATACCGTGTTTTAAACGATATATTATACGTTTTTTATATACATCCTATGGTATATAATTGTAAATTTTTCTACGTTTAAATATAGTTAACAATATACGACTATTTTTAGTTTGCGATGAACTATTTATATACAGTGGGCCTGAATATACGTTTAGGTTTATTTAAATTAAATTCATATAAATTTACATAATATTACAATATGTGTTCTTCGATCATAATTTCCGTTTAAATTTCGTCTTGGTTGATTTTTTAAACGTTTACCATCTACCATTTTTATTCTTAACGTTTTTTAACAGATAAATTAAACGCTTCTGTTTGTCGATACTAGTTAATATACCTATATTATTCTACGTTTAAATATAGGTCATCTTAAACGCATAATACCAGTTTACGATGAACTAGTAGACAGAAGTAAATAATATGTATATATTTAGGTTTATTTTAATTAAAAGCTTATGGATATATTTATTTTCATTGCATCCATATTTTTTTAATTATATTACCTGTAATATTTATAACAAATTCCCTATATACATGGAACTATTTTTAGATGGCGGATGGAGGATGACGTACTAGTGGTATGGTCTTTTCTCATTTCTACTCATGCGTATGTGTAGTATTATTGTCCAGTGTAGGGAATGGTTTGTGGGAGCAGGTTCATCGGTTCGTCAATTTTCATTAGTGTACACGTTTTGTTGCATGTTCCTTTGGCTTTTATGATATTGATTAAAAGCATAGATAAGTTTCTATTAATGTTTTAATTTAGCTACTCCTTTAATAATCACGAATCTGAAGTCAAAATTGGGGGTCAAACTGCAAAAAACGGAGAAAAATTAAAAAAACCGATAAGATCCATTATTGATTTTATGGAATATGCGTAAGATTCATGGGCGCCGTCACATAAGAACAAGGGGGCGTCTGTCACCCCCCACATTTGTGATTTTTTTATTTTTACTTACCGTGTTTTAAACTAAAGGATTTGGCGTTTTGATTCTGCCTTCCATGGAAATTTTTTTAAGGGCGTCCATGGTAAGCTTCTATTTGCTAGCTGCTAATAAATATAAACAGTGCTGTTTTTTTTTAATTTTCAAATTCGAATGAGCCAAAAATTGAAAATTAGGAAACACTAAAAGAAAAACGTTGCCTAAAACCGTTCGATTTTAATAAATGTAATTTATGATAATTTTGAAATGTTACCGTGACTAGATATTTTTAAATACTTCTATGCCTTTTAAATAGTGACTCAAACCATTCTGATCATACTTATCCTGAAATAGAACTTTCAAGTTATGTAGCTTGTTATTTTGACAATTTATGTAATTTACACGCTCGATTAATCGAGAAAAAATGCATATCGACTTTTTCCACTCATTATTTCGCTAAATTCCGGTATCCATGACCAGTGATTTGACTTGGAAAATAAAATAATTCAATCCGTAATCAGATCTAAGCGGGACAATTATTACAATCGGTGTGCCTGTCGAACGACGTCATTTACAAGTAATCCAGCTACCCACAAGTCCGCGCGACCAGCAAAAATGGCCTTCTACTATGCAGCGTATCCGTTGAATGGGATCAAGTGTCATCGTCAAGTAAATTTCGCTGCTCGCTCATAGACCGTCGACCGTCGACAGGTACTTCCTTGATAAGGGTGATAAACTATAGTAGGCCATACACGTTGTGGCATATGCTTGAGCGCGGCGTTAGTCCAGTACCACGAGGCTCTCTGAAGAATTTGGAAATTTATATATCAATTTCTTTATTCACACCATAATAATTAGGGTGCAGTTAGGTCCGTTTGGTACAGTTGAGTTTTAAACTTAACTTGACACTATGATCAATTTCATAATCAAGTTAAAGTAGGCTACACATTATTCCTATATTTAAAAATCTTAAGTCAGTATTTACAAACAGATCTCAGTCGACTCGGACTTGGATGAGTGTGGCGACATCGTGATCCCCACATAACCTTACCTTTAATTTTGACTTACATGTAATTCCAGCCTAAGACTTTTAGGTCGTTTTTATTTGAGGTTATTCAAGTGTCAATCTCGGAACTGCATTGAGATTCTCATCTCTCAATTCAAAACGTGTTGAAACGACTATCTTCGTTCCACAAAATGCGATTCGTATGTAAAGTCTCTCTCTATTCAATTCATTACGTGTTAAGTACGCACATAAGAATCTCTATCCTTATATTATAATTATGTTAAGCCTTAAGCAGGTATATCATAGTCGATCTCCTTTGAGATGTATCCTGATCCATTGAGTCTTGATGACCATTTATAGGGAGACGGAGAAGAAAAAAGGAAAATCAGGGAGATAAATAAAATTAAAATTGAGAAGACACATCAAGAACATAAACTACAGTTGTTTTCATGATATGTACTTTATTTTGATACCAAATAAATATTTTTTAATAGTACTCAGAAGTGAAATTTCCTAAAGAAAGATAACTTTAACGGCTGAGACGACCGACTGAGAGACTCCATAAATATGTAGATAATCAGGACGATGAGACATCAGAGGAGGACGACGAGACATTAAAGAAGGACAACGAGACAAGCAAGACGACGAGACATTAGAGGAGGAGGACGAGCCAGCGACGCTACGATTAAGGACGCAAGTAGGTTTTTTCATCAGTGCTGGTCGATTTGGTATACCTTCTTAGATTAGTTTCTTTTTTACATTTTATTAATGACATGAGACAACGAAGAGTCAAAAATCGAACCTCCAAAAGTAAAATTTTCAGCTTCTTAAGCCCATCAACCAGATATATAATTAAGAGACAATTTTTTTTGCACAAAATAAATTCAGAGAAAAATAAATTTCATTTATCTATAGCGCATTTACCAGCAGACATTTTTACTAAAGTTTATGATATAATCTCGGATCATCCAGTAAATAATGCCTTTTTCCGTTCTAAAGGAAATAATCATCAACAGACTTTAACTCTCTAAGGAAACAAGATTGGATAAACTTCTCTCAAAAGCTGAAATGGGCAATAGAAACCCTTAGATATCTACAAAGAATTGATAAGATTTTCAGGGTTCTCTATTATCTATCTATTGTCAAAAATTAAATGCAGTCGGTATAAGAGACTCTGTAAATTCATGGGTAAATTCATATATTTTAAGTCGTCCTTTTTTTGTTTCAGTTGATAATATCCAGTCTGATATATTTTATAATGACCTAGGAACCCCTCAAGGGGGAGTACTAGGTCCATTACTTTTTCTACTGTACGTTAACGATATGCCTGAATATTTTAAAGATCAGGATGATATATTTATTTATGCTGACGTCACAACAGTAATAGTATCTGCCGATTCTTTAGGACAGGTAGTATAAAAAGTTAAAAATATTATTATGGGATTTAAAGAATGGTGTGACTGTAATAGATTGGTTTTAAACTTGGAAAAAACAATTTGTGTTAATTTTTCCTACGGCGGCAGAAAATTTGTACAATCACCTTTTGATGGTAATATCAACAAAGTTAATGTATTAGTAAATTCAGCAAATAAAACTAAATTTCTTGGGACACTTGTCGATTGTAATCTAAACTTCAGAGAACAAATAGATAATATTTGCAAAAATCTTAATAAAAGCTATTTTATGTTGTATTCACTTAAAAATTATATGCCAAAGGAATCTTTAATAACAATTTACTATGCCCATGTATATTCAACCCTTAACTACAACATTACTGTTTGGGGACAGGCATCAGATATCTCTCGCGTATTTATTATTATCCAAAAACGAATATTACGGTTAATTTTTAATTTGGGTTACAGGGATAGTTGTCGAGAAATATTTAAAAATAATAAAATTCTTACTGTTACTGCAATATACCTCTATAAATTATTGTCTTTTTACTTTTAATAAAATAAGAAATCTCATAATGAAAAAAGATATACACGGGTATAATACCAGAAATGCTGAAAATATATATTTAAAACAACATTACCATACCAGCTACAAAAAATCACCATACTACGCCGCTTCTTACCTCTTTAACAAACTGCCATCAAACATAAAAAATAATCAAACCCTACAAGGCTTCCAGAAAGATCTTAAGCAGCTATTAACAGTTAATGTTTTCTATTCATTAAATGAGTTCCTACACTATACGGTTGCTTAGCTGATATATGAGATTTTTATAGATTTTTATATTGTACTGTGTTGCATTGTTACTTTGTTCATTTTATTTATTTATGTATGACTTACCTTATTCATATTTTGTAGATATGGCTTCAAAGGCCAATAAATTTTATTATTATTATTATTAATATTATTATTATTATTAACAAAAATTTACTATTAAAGATCTGAAGAAGGAGACTCCCAAAGTTTATAAATATATCCTTGACTGTATCTGGCAAGTCTACAACCAAATATCTACTAAATATAGCTAATGAAAGTTGGGAATCATCTCCATCATCCAGCGTTTCTAATTACAAATATAATAGAGACAAAATTAATAATATCACTAAAGATAAGCAAAATTAAAATTTGGTCGAATCAATAAAACAATTTAAATAATAACTATCACAGGTATTACACGTGTTGTTGTTTCTTTAAAAAACGTCCTATATAAATCATAAGACACTGGGTTTGAATATTTTTCTTGATATAGAGAAAGCAATAATCGTACATTCAAATTGGCAGCCAAATATTCTTTATCTGTATGCCGACGAGTATAATGACTTTTGTTTCGGGGAAATGAGTTGATATGTCCAATAACTTCATTTTTCCTTTGTTCTGAAATTTTAGATGGTGGAGCATGAGCGTCTCTTTGATCTGGTGTGGAAATAATTGCAATATTATTTTCTCTAGAAGAAAGCATGTACTTAAGAAATCTGTCAGTAACGTCAAAGGTTTTTTTAAAACAATGTTGGCAAATCTTCTGCAGTTCCCCATTGATTTTAAGATGATATACATAACTTAGTGCTCGATGTCTTCGCTTTTTACCTCCATTTCGTATTCTTTGAGTGGCCTTGGGTTGCGATGTCACGAGCCCGTTAAGGTTGTCTACTCTTCTATTCCTATCATTCATTGCCCAAAATAATTCAAACAAGTCTTCTCTCACATTATAATTAAATTGATCGCTGCATTTAATTTTCCATCTCCTACATTACATTCTACATTACTTTCTTTCTTCATATTTAATTATTTTTCTTTAGTATTAATAAGATCTGTTTCAGCAGCTATCTCTGTTATTATTTAAATATTAAATCTAGTTTATGATATGAAAACAAGTATAATATTTTGTAAAGCACTAAACAGGACTGGCATCGCAAAACAAGCATTAAGTTGCTTAGGCTGGTGTCCGCCTTTGTTTGGTGTTAAACTAATACAATTGTTATTATTTTATTTGTATACCTATATCAATAAAAATTTATTATTATTATTGTTATTATTATTATTATTATTTCATTCGACAATCCGGTAGATTTACAAGGCACTTCTTTTCATTTATTGTTATACCATTTTTTGTGACAAGATTTTCCAGAGTTTCCTTTTTCATTTCTTTCTTTTCGAAGTTTTCTTGATCTTTTGCTCGGTACATTATATTTCTGATTTTTATCGCTCTTGTTATCTCCGAAACATTGTCCTGAAATTTTAACTTTTTTATGAGGAATAATGGGCTCTTTATCCTGATCAGAGGAGCTTCTATTATCTGAATCAGATTCCAATGACGGTACAAAGTCGGGGTCAATAATTTCATCATCACCATCACCAACAAAAAGATCTTTATTTTCTTTATTTTGCTCCCGTGGAGGATTATCGAGTTGAAAAAAAAATTCTTTATTAGCACCTACATTAGCTTCTGGAAATATAATATATTATCAAGAAGAATTAATTGAAAAGTTTGAAGAAACTTACCAGAAGTACATTCAGTGGCCGGCACCATTTCAACATTACTTGAATCATCATATAGTCCAGTCATTTAAGCTTAAATTAGGTAAGAATCTCGGAACTGGAGATACCCAGCTGTAAGTCTGTAAATACTTGTATATTGACACCCTAAAAGTTGTCTCAAAACCTACATATGGTAGGGTGTACGCATCTATTAAATTTCAAGGTCAAAGGTCACAAAAATCGGTTTTTTGCGCTTTTTTTGTAAATATCTCATTTCCTATGGGTTTTTTGCTATTTGTATTTATTATCAATATTGTAGAATACAAAATTCTCTAAAAATTTTGTTTAAAAAAATTTTTCATACGGTGAACCGTTTTCGAGATAGATGACGGAGAGCGCGCGGTCACAGCATCACTTCAGGTCAACCGGTGCCTCCTGTCGAAAACGCGCCATATATAGTTGATGAAATATCAATAAATCAATGATTATAAATATTTGTCAATTTTTATTAACTATTATATTATATTTTATCATTTTTTTTCCTAACCTATCCACTTTTTATTTAGTATTAATTTATTTAACAACACTTACCTGCCCATGTAATTGCAAAATTGTTAATGAAAATATAGGAATTATATTTGAATTTTAACCTAATTAATATTAATAAATTCTTACATGATGAAAAAAAAAAACAAATAAATTATGAATTAATCTTTTTATTAAAAAATTTCATTCAATACATTTATTTTTATTAAAAGTAAAAAAAATGGAATAAAAGGTACAAAAACTACAATTTATAATTTTAATAATCTTCTTCCTCTTCATCGTCGTCTTCCGGCTGCTGGTAAATTTCAAACTGGTCTTCATTATCGTCTTCAACGACATTTCTCTCAAGTTCTTCCATGATTTCGGGGTCAAAGGTTCCATCTTCGTTAATGTCGCTCTGATATGGTAGAGCATTGAGACAAGCTTGCCCATTACATTGGCCACAAGCTAAAGAGCATTGCAAGCCCGCTTTCCTGCATCCGCATCGCGAACCACAACCACTCTTGCAGTTGCAGAAAATTGTATTTAGCAAATCTTCTGGAGCAGGTGGTAAAATTGTCATGATAGGCTCCAGAAAATCGTTTCGCATTGCCCAACTCCATACCTGGGGTTCCAAATCATGCCTTAACCAAGTTTGAACTTAATAATATACACGTTTGAAAGGTTGATGAGCAGCTGCTTTTGTTGGTGGAATATTTGAAAGCTGCACAGGTTAATTAAGTTTTGTAGACTTGACGTAATGCATATAACGAAGATGATCGAGACTTTTCACAGATTTCGGAGCATTATAGACTGCCAATAAGATTTGACAATTTTACCACCTGCTCCAGAAGATTTGCTAAATACAATTTTCTGCAACTGCAAGAGTGGTTGTGGTTCGCGATGCGGATGCAGGAAAGCGGGCTTGCAATGCTCTTTAGCTTGTGGCCAGTGTAATGGGCAAGCTTGTCTCAATGCTCTACCATATCAAAGCGACATTAACGAAGATGGAACCTTTGACCCCGAAATCATGGAAGAACTTGAGAGAAATGTCGTTGAAGACGATAATGAAGACCAGTTTGAAATTTACCAGCAGCCGGAAGACGACGATGAAGAGAAAGAAGATTATTAAAATTATAAATTGTAGTTTTTATACCTTTTATTCCATTTTTTTACTTTTAATAAAAATAAATGTATTGAATGAAATTTTTTAATAAAAAGATTAATTCATAATTTATTTGTTTTTTTTTTTCATCATGTAAGAATTTATTAATATTAATTAGGTTAAAATTCAAATATAATTCCTATATTTTCATTAACAATTTTGTAATTACATGGGCAGGTAAGTGTTGTTAAATAAATTAATACTAAATAAAAAGTGGATAGGTTAGGAAAAAAATTGATAAAATATAATATAATAGTTAATAAAAATTGACAAATATTTATAATCATTGATTTATCGATATTTCATCAACTATATATGGCGCGTTTTCGACCGGAGGCACCGGTTGACCTGAAGTGATGCTGTGACCGCGCGCTCTCGAAAACGGTTCACCGTATGAAAAATTTTTTTTAACAAAATTTTTAGAGAATTTTGTATTCTACAATATTGATAATAAATAGAAATAGCAAAAAACCCATAGGAAATGAGATATTTACAAAAAAACGCAAAAAACCGATTTTTGTGACCTTTGACCTTGAAATTTAATAGATGCGTACACCCCACCATATGTAGGTTTTGAGACAACTTTTAGGGTGTCAATATACAAGTATTTACAGACTTACAGCTGGGTATCTCGAATTCCGAGGTGAACTTACTATAATGATTGGACTACAAAATAATAATTGCTGGCAAGTGAATTCCTAATTTCTTTTACTGCTACTGGAAAGATATTTGGGTTGTCTTCTTCAATGCCATTGAGACTAGCTTTTTCTGCGAAACAAAAAATCACATTGAACTTGAGGATAAAAACTACAACGAATTTTTTAAGCGAAGTAATGTTTGCTGAAACTTACCACAAGTAAATTCAGTGGCCGGTTCAAATTCAGCATTACCGAAGTCAACATTGACAGTAAATTGATTTCCAAATTTTTGTACATCTACTGGAAGTACATTAAGATTGATTTCTTTACTATTGTCAAAATTAGCTTCTTCTATAAAAAGAAAGAATCGCCTTAGACTCATGCATTAAAACTACAATGGATTTTTCAGACAAAAGTAAAGTTTGTAGAATTTACCACGAGTAAATTCAGTGACCGATACGAATTCCACATTACCAAGACCAACATTGCCGGTAAATTGATTTCCAATTTCTTGTACTTTAACCACTTCAACTGTGAGTTCATCAAGGTTTTCTCTATGTAGCTTCTGTGGAAATAATATTAAACGTAGAGATATGTATTTAACGTTGAATCAATAGTATCAAATAAAAATACATAAACAACATAACCTCAAAATTTGTATTCATGTTATTAAGTTACTTCCATGCCTTCTGTAGAGTCATTCTTCGCAGGTAATATCATGGAAAGAATTCTTTGCTTCTTAAACACATTTTTGACTTGGTCAAAAATAATCAATTCTTAACAAAAACTAACAATAACAATTAGCTTATGTTACAGTTCGCAATAACTAAGACTATCTGTAGATAAGTTATTATAACCGATACTTTAGATTGGGCGAAAAACTGCTTAAGTCGACTTATGCCAATACTACGCGCTTCATATTTAGGTTAAATTAACTACATCAACATAAGAATATTTACCCGCGTCCTTTTCTTTTTAAATATTTTTTTAAGTATTGTTAGGATGTCCTACCCGACATAATATGACATTAGCTCATTTTCCCAAAAAATTGACTCAGTATTGCATTCGTGCAGACGAAAAAATGTTCCTATCCTCATTTTTTTACTGTTTTCACGTTTTTGATCAATCCGAAAAGGCGAAACAAAATTTTTTTTCGCGTGGTCGTCTGTGCGTATGTATGCTAGCACAATAAATCTAGAATGAAAGTTTTGATTGACTTGCGGTTTTATTTTCTTAAATAATTGCTTCTTACTTACAGAGACAACAGAGACGTGTAACTTAATAGGAAAATATGTTCGGTGGTCCATTTAAATTACATATATGACCCTCTTTATCTTTTACATTGATCTTTACATATGTCTATCTCTCTCCAATAAAACTAACACCATTTTCAGAGGGCGCTGGTGTTGCTGGTTTTTTGACGTCGAAATATCGATTAAAAGTATTAAAACTGACAATGTTATGAATGTTGTTATGAACATGTGCATTTTATTAAAATTAATTTAATTTGGGCCCCGTATATTTCTTTTAGTCTGATTTTGTTGTTTAATTAATTTTCTTTGGGGGGGAATGTTTATTTTTGCATATTATTTTTTGCATGAAGCAATTTCTGGAACCAAACTCGCGTTTTTGTACACATTTCTTTCTAGAGGTAAGTAATTTCCAATTTATTAAGAAAACCACTGTATAATGGGTGTGTGTTTAATAATATATTACACAATGACTATAATTATTTTAGGTGAATTGGAACAGAGATCCATTGTTACAGCTACTTGTGTTCATTAAGTAGGTAGATGAATGTCTGGACAGCTTTAATGGCAGCACAAAGTTCCTATCTACTAGAAAAGTAAAATGTATGCTGAGTAA